CCCCAAAACCCCAAAACCCCAAAACCCCAAAACCCCTAAAAATGCTTAATAAATTGAAATAAAAGATGGAAAATAACTTAGTGCCTCAATTAGTGATGGAAAAGTCCCAGAGCTCAAACCAGAAGAAGATCCGCAGGGCCTCCATGTTTAGTAAAATTACAGTTAACCTAATTTAGGCCCATTGGTGAAGAGCAGAAGGCCTACTGTGAATAATAGTAATAAACACCTCTCGTTCTTTCTGAGAAACAAATTGAAAAGCAATTATGAAGCCAGCCATACTAATAATGATCACCTAAAAACAAGCAGCAAATAAGGTTGTTGCTTTTGGACTCGACGAAGATCTTAAAGGTAAACATTTTCAGGAATTTCTAAAAATTATATCTGACACTTCTCTAGAATGTGACAAATTTACCAGAAGTCCAAGCCCACCCTTTTCGAAGGTCTTTAATGACAAAGTAAAGGTTGGGGGATTTCATTCATCATTCCCAGTACGTCATAGAAGGAAAAGGTTGGGTTCAGATCCCAAAAGCAGGTAAAGATCTCTCTAACCTCTAGGTCTAGGAAGAAGCACAAAAAGAGAACTACAAATGACACGAATATCTCTAAACTTTATAACCTGATTCCTGGATTTAGCTACAAGTATTCTCTGTGTTCATATCTAGGGATTTCGATGAGATAGATAATTTCGAGAAAACCACACTTTTTACAAAGAAGGAGAAGAACCCAAATTGGAAATTAATTCGGAAATTTGTGCATAGAGTATTCAAGTGTGACACCACACAAGAATTGCTTAACAAATTCAAGGCGATGAAAGGTATAAACCGGCTAATTATTAGATAATAAGGAAGGCTCTTTGATTAAGCATACAGATTCTGTGTCAAAGATCGATGAAAGTATTATAACCCTAGTGAGCCTTTAGTGTCAATCAAACCCCTCCATCTCCAACTCCAAGAGAAGGTAAACTTTGTTTAACATCTTTAGCAGCAAAGAAGACATAATTTGAGTGCACAAGAGAGCAAGATCCTTGACCTGAGGGACGACTTTGATAAACTCAAAGCTCAAGAAGAAAAGTTTGGGCAATGGGTAAATAGCATGAAGAAAGGAACTCGTAGTAAACCTCTAAACAAAGTTAGAGTATTCTTGAACTTTCATAATTATAGTCCATTTGTAAAACGCCTGTGAGCACCTCAAAACATATGAAGTTTTTGAAAACTTCTGAGAAGCCAAATTACGGAACTTCTGGATTTAAGATAGTAACCTTAGCTTTTAAGTTTTAGAAACCTATCAGCACTAAGACTTTATATAAAAGATCGCGAATTAAAACCTCTGGGTTGCCTTCAAGTCATAAATCTGAAGCTCACAGAAGATTTTTGAATCTTCATGAGCTCCAAAGGAGCTCATCGCCCAATTTTGGGCTACAAGTTCCTTTCATTATGCAAAAATCATTATAAAAATGGTCAGGAATGAATACGAAATACGATCAGTGAATTTTAAGTCCCAAAAGGCTGAAAATAAGCATAAAATAGAGATCCTGGATTCCATATGCCAGCAGCTGGAAGGGATTGAGTTCAAACTGTAAGTAGCCTGGTTATCTCTAGGTACGGCAACCGGATCATGATGAATAAGAATATTGATATCATCTTCTCACCATTATTGATCAGATTGTTTCATTCTGACTTGAGGGCGCTCCAGGTTATTAATTCACTCAAATTGTTTTGAAAGAAAGCTTCTGTGAAGGAGCCTCACATGCATAGTAAGTCAGTCGACCAAGTCAGAAAGAGAGATTATGTGTTACTAAATAGTAAGAGTATCAATATAAGTACTCCTAGAAAACTACAAAAACTGAAAAGTAAGCCTATCTATTCTTTAAAACCATTAATTAGAAACTCAAGACAAAATTGGGCCTCTGTTTGAGCGAGACCAAAAGACTAGCAGTCATGAGATAAGGCAACAGCTCGAAAGTATGATGTCTAAAATGCATCATACCAGGAGTTTTGACAAACCATTTAGAGCAAAGACTAATAAGTCCAGTTCTGCTTTGCTAAATTGCGCAAGGAATAAGTTTGGGAGATCCACCAGGACACAGTACTCTCAGGTATTGTCTAGTACGAAGAAATATGAATATAAGAAACCTCTCTAGAATTGTTAGAATACTGGGGTTTTGGGGTTTTGGGGTTTTGGGG